TAGTAGTTGCAAAATGCACCCAAGATTTTAAATTCTAGACTTATTCTTAATATACTAGTTAAGTCAATAATATATTTTCTGCCCTGGCCAGATGGCTCAGGTGTTTGGAGCACTGTCTCACACATGAAAAAGTTGCAGGTCCAATTCCTGGTCAGGGTACATACATAGGTTGTGTGTTCGATCCCCAGGTGGAGTGCATACAGGAGGCAATCAATGATTCTCTCACATAAATGCTTCTCTCCCTCCCTCTCTCTCCATCCCCCCTCCCCCATCTCTAAAAATCAATAAAACATATCCAAATGTATCCTTGAATAAGAATTAAAAAATAATATAATTTCTATCTTTGAATTTATGTTCATCTGGAATACAAAAAAATATGGTTCCACTTACCATTTCCAAGTAAGCTTTTACTAAAAATTATTTTGCTAATGCAGAAAAGATATAAATCTGTCTTTTGTACTTGCTAAGACATGTTCTTATATCATGGTTGCTAAGATTATCTGAATTTTTTTTGTGTGGCTCAAATAGCACTATTATTGATAACATAACTAAAGGTGGGTGGTGATAGAGCAACCTTTAATTGGCTTGTTCTGAAGCAAAGACTACACAGCATAGGTTTCCAGAATAAATGGCTGTTTTTTTTGTTTCTTTCCAATAAAAACAGAGGTAAAAGGAACAAACACACATATTCTCTAAAGAAATTCCTTCTTGGATTATAAGTAGTCGATTAATGTGAACCAAATTTTGTATCTAAACTATCTGACAGTGGTTAAAATGTACAACTGTTTAATATAAGATTTTGTTTTTTAGCCGTGAAAATCTGTAGCCTACAGGTTTTTTTCCCCACTTAAACTTCAGAGTACTTTTCCGCCTATTTAATTGTGGAGTAACACAACAGCAGAGTAGAAAAATCTATGTAAGAAACAGATTAGATTGATTTGTTATTAAGTAGATTGTGAAGCCTCAGGGAGGATAGCTATAATAACAGTTCAGTCACTACAAAGTCTGGCAAACTCATCAGTTGTTATTTTCCCCCCTTGGCAGACATGTCATGTTCATTTTTATAGCAAGCTGACTAACTGCTGAAAATGCACTAATGGATGGCTCTCGTGTTTAGGTAGAAAATCACAGTTCAAATTTCCCTTTCCATACATCATTGGATTAGAACTATATAGGTAGTTCTCTGAAGGGTTAAGGAAACACCCTGACACACATGAGCTTTTCTGCTCTGTCCTTAACCTGTCAAATGGTAAGGAGAATGTGAACGTAACATCAACTTTCCTTTATTTCAACATGGAGATTAATGATTAAATGGAGGAATGATAAATTCTTTGCCCTGAAAGAACTGAAGAAAATGTTTTTCAAGAATCTCTAAATTAATATCTACATGACTTCCTGTAACATGTTTGTGACCAGTCAAGAACAGAAATGGTAGGCATCCCAGGTTTTCCATAAAGGAGAAACAACATAGTGGTAGTGGATGTGGGGCTGTGGCATAGGAATTTTACAATTGTCTTTGTCTAGTAAGCATGATTTTATACAGACTCTCTATTTGGGGTGGTAGAGTGAAGTGAGGTGAAATGTTCTCAAACCACTTATTGACACTCCAGTGGGAAACCAATAGAATACTATTTTCAAGGAGAAGTATCATCCTCATGTTAAATTCAGGTATGCAATAATTAAAACTGAAGCAAACTAAAGCACACAAAAAACCAACCAAAAAGAAAAAACCCTACTGAACAGATACAAGATAATGTGTACAAAACATCTAGAATGAGTGTCTGTTATGCAATAGTTGCTAAATGAATACTGTTCTTCTCCCTATAATATAAAGAAGTATTTCACCTAAGGATATGAGAAACAAAGACACCAAAGTAGGAACTGAAAGAGTCAGGGGGGCAAATCTAATCTGATTAACAGAGTGCTCTTCACAAGATTAAGAATGATAAAATGCAGACATATATTTATGCTGCTACTAAGGTGCTTTGTCATTTTGTTAGGCATAATAATCCCTTCTAATATTTAGGGATTTGTACCCTTGTATTTATCTTTACAATAAAGCAAAGGCATTGATATTTCTTGTGTAAATTCAGAAGACACCATAAACATTTGCAGTAAAAACAAACAAAAAATGAAAACAAAAAGAGTCACTAAAGAAAATGAGGAAATAGCAGACTGAAAGTGACCAGAGGGGATGGGGAAAGAGGACAATGGTGAAAAGAAGGGGAAGGGACTAGACAGAGAACATGTATGAATGACTCAAGGACACAGACAACAGAGTGGGAACCGACTACGGGGGCAGTGGGATGGGTGGAGGAGGGCAAAGGGGGAAAAACTGAGACAACTGTAACAGAATAAACATGATTTAAAAATTAAAAAAAAAAGAATAGAAAATGAGGAAATAGAAAGTAATGTTAGTATCACTTATTTGGACTTTCAATTATACTAAGATGCAAATCTGGATAATTTAGCATCTATTATATGACATCTATAGAAGGTTGTTTCTTCTACATATAATACTAAAATATTTGTATTCTAAAAACAGATTAACATGGTGTGCTGTTGTGCTGTACAATTTTAAGATATACATCTCAACAGTTATTTCAGCTAAAAAACGACTAATGATAGAACCAAAAACAAAAAAAAGCGGCAAAATTACTCATTTACAAAATGTGAAACTGAAATGGATCATAGACATGAAAAGAGACTTAACCTGACTAATCATAAAAAAAAAGTAAAATGAGATAACATTAGACTGGCAAAATTTAAAGAATCTGCCTAATATTAAATGTTGGACAAAAGAAAACAAAACACAGGATCCTGGAACTTTTCCATGCACAACTTCATAGGATACAATTGTTAAGTTACTTCAGAAAGCAATTCAGCAAGATCCAGAAAAAGTGAAAATGTGCTTTCATTATGACCCAAATATTTCACTTCTAATGATATATTTTTTAGAATCTTATGTTAATCAGAAGATATGTCTAAAAATACTCATTGTTGCATTACTTACAATATTAAAAAGTGAAAGTGAAATGTGCTTCAATAGGGGAATGGCTAAATAGTTTAATATTCTATTATATACAGTAGCAGTTAGAAAAAATAACCTAGAGGCCACAATAAGAGACAAAGGACATTATATAATACAAAAGGGATCAATCCAATAAAAGGATATATAACTCTTGTAAACATATATGCACCTAACACAGGAGTACCTAAACATATAAACAAACTCTTGGTGGACAAAAGGGAGAGATCAAGAGCAATACATTCATAATAGGGGATTGTAGCACCCCACTGACCTCAATAAATAGACCATCCAGGCAAAAAATCAACAAGGCAACAGTGACCTTAAATGACACACTGGACCAGATGGATTTAATGGATATTTACAGAACATTTCATTCTAAAGCAGCAGAATATACATTCTTTTCAAGTGTACATGGAACATTCCCTAGGACAGACCACATGTTCAGAAACAAAAATAAGCCTTTATTAATTCACAAATATTAAAATCATATCAGGCATCTTCTCTGAAGAAAATGGTATGAAACTAGAAGTCAATTAAAATTAAAAAAAAATCACTAAAAAGTACTCAAATATATGGAGGCTGGATAACATGTTACTTAGCATTGAATGAGTCACAATATCAAGGAAGAAATTAAGTTACCTTGAAACAAGCGAAATGAACACACAACAACCCAAGATCTATGGAACACAGAGAAAGCAGTCCTAAGAGACAAATTTGTAACATTACAGGCAGTCATACCTCAAACAAGAAAAATCTCAAATAAACAATGTATTGCTACACCTAAAACAACAAGAGAAAAACACAAATGAAGCCCCCCAGTAAGTAGGAGAAAGGAAATAATAAAAATTACAGCAAAAATAATGAGCTATAAGAAAGAGGAACTAAGTAAACAATCTTATTTACAACTGCAACAGCAACAAAAATTAAGGTGCCCAGGAATAAATTTAACCAAAGAGGTAAAAGACGTATATTCAAAAAGTTACGGGATACGGAAGAAAGAAACTTGAGAAAGACACAAATAAGTAGAAGCATTAAGCATGTTCGTGATAGGAAGAATTAACATCATTAAAATGTCCATACTCTCTAAAGCAATATATACATTAGATGCAATTCCTATCAAGATACCAATGGCATGTATATAAGAACTAGAATATTCCAAAAATTTATATGGAACCAAGAAAGACCCCAAGAAGTCTCAGCGATTTTGAGAAAGAACAATGTTGGAAGTATCACACTATGTGATATGAAACAATACTGCAAGGACGTAGCAATTAAAACAGAATGGGACTGACATAAACACAGACATAAAGATCAATGGAACAGAGATCCCAGAAATAAACCCACACCTTTATTATCAATTAATATTTGACAAAGAAAGCAAGAACATGCAATGGCATAAAAGTCTATTCAATAAACGGTGCTGGGAAATTTGGACAGATATGTGCAAAAAAAAGAAATTGGACCACCTCCTTACACCATACACAAGAATAAACTCGAAATGCATTAAAGACTTAAATATTAGACTCAAAACCATGAAAATCTTAGAAGAAAATATAGGCAGCAAAATCTCAGACATTTTTCATAACGGGGTTTTTTGTGATATATCTCCTCAGGCAAGGGAAACAAGAAAAAAACAAAACAAAAACAAGGGGGCCTACATAAAACTAAAAAGCTTTTGCAGAACCAAAGAAACCATCCACAAAATGAAGAGACAATTCACTGAATGGGAGACCATATTTGCCATTGATACATCTGATAGAGTTAATTTCCCAAATTTATAAGGAACTTACAAAACTCAACGCCAAACAAACGAACTATCCAATTGAAAAATGGGCGAAGGACCCGAACACACACTTCTCCAAAAGAGGACAAAGATGACTAACAGACATATGAAAAGGTGCTTAATGTCACTAATCACCACAGAAATGCAAGTTAAAACCACAATGAGTTATCACCTCACACCTGTCAGATGGCTATCACCACAAGCCTTGCGGATGCTGCCACTGCCGCCCTGGGGCTTCCCAGACCAGCTAGGGTGAACCTCACCATGCTCTTTGATATTCCTGGAGATGGTGAGCCCTTGGGCCAGGTCTCCTTCAAGCTGTTAGACAAAGTTCCAAGGACAGCAGAAAACTTTTGTGCTATGAGCACTGGGGAGAAAGGATTTGGTTACCAAGGTTCCTGCTTTCACAGAGTTACTCCAGGATTTATATGCCAGGGTGGTGACATCCCACGCAGCAGCAGCATAGGTGGCAAGTCAATCTACGGGGAGAAATCTGATCATAATTTCACCCTGAAGCACACAGGTCCTGACATCCTGTCCATGGCAAATGCTGAACCCAACACAAACAGTTCCCAGTTTTCCAACTGCACTCCCAACCCTGAGTGGCAGGATGGCAAACATGTGGCCTTTGGCCAGGTGAAAGATATCATGGATGTTGTGGCAGCCATGGAGTGCTTTGGGTCCAGGAGTGGCAAGACCAGCAAGAACATCACCATTACTGACTGTGGACAATGCTAATAAATTTGACTTGTGTTTTATCTTAACCACCAGACCATTCAGGAAGCACCCCTTCACCCCCATGTACTTGTGTATGTTCTATAATCTCCATGCTCTCACCACAGTTTCCTCACCCCTTCCAAGTCTAGCTGGATTGCAGAGTTAAGTTTCTGATTATGAAGTAAAAACTAAACAACTGTCAAAAAAAAAGGAGAAAGAATGGCTATCATCAATATATCATCAACAAACAAGAGTTGGTGAGGATGTGGAGAAAGGGGAACCCATGTGCATTGCTGGCAGGAATGCAAATTGCTATACAGTTTCCTCAAAAAAATGAAACATCAGACTACCTTAATGACCCACAGATTCCACTACTCGAAATATATCTAAGGAAACACAAAACCCTAATCCAAAAGAATATACACACCTCTCTGTTCATTGCAGTGTTGTTTTATAACAGCCTAGTTTCAGAGGCAGCCCAAGTGCCCATCAGTAGATAATTGGATAAAAAGGCAATGGTACATTTACACAATGAAATACTACTTGGCCTCAAAAAAGAAGGAAATATGACCTTTTGTGACAACATGGAGAGTATTATGCTAAGTGAAAATAAGCCAGCGAGAGGAAGAAAAGTACCATATGATTTCACATATATGTGGACTCTAATGAACACAATAAACTAACAAACAAAATATAAATAGACATAGACTGACAGCTTTCAGAATAGCGGGGTTGTGGGGCTCGGGGGAAAAGGTGAAGGAATTACGCAAAAACAAAAAAAAACCTCACAGACATAGACAACAGTATGGCTATTGATAGAAGCAAAGGGCGGGGGGGCGGGTAGGTGGAAGAGGGCAAAGGGGACATAAATGATGGCAGAAAGGTATATGACTTTGGGTGATAAGTGCACAATGTAGTATGCAGATGATGTGTTACCGAGTTGTACACTTGAAAACTATATGGTTTTATTAACCAATGTCACCACAATAAATTTATTTCAAAAAATTAAAAAATCTCCCCAAAATCATATAGAAAATATAAGCATGGTATAGTAATTGTTTCAGTGGTGCAATGTATTTGCATGTCCCTAATAAAAACTGATTATAGAATTATTGAAAAATCCTGATATACCATCATGAATGAGAAATAAGGAAGAGTTAATAAATAAATATTCATTTTCCATCACACACACACACAATGTAGATCTACACACATCAACATGGACAGAGCTCAAATACTCTGTAGAAAAATCAAGATACACAATGATATATAGACTGTAACATTTGTGTAGGCTAAAAAAGAAACAAAAAATATTGGCAAACCGATGTATATGATACAACAGTACACAAAGTAAACCTAAAGACAATAGTGGTTAGATATTGGGCGGGAAGACTGGGGCAAAAGGGTACTCAAGTTTTATGTTTAATATGTATTTTTCAAATAAAAATGTCAATGAGGAATTATCAATTTTCAATTGTCACATACTGAAATTTTAGTTTTATTATTCTCTGTACTTCTATTTTTTTAACATTTCCCAAGATACAGATGAAAAAATACAGATAAAACCCAAAAGGATAGTAATAAGAAAACATGTCATTAAAGTAATTATCAATCACTATAAATTATTAAAAGTAAACTTTTTCAAACAATTTGAAATATACTATGTATGTAAGTTATTTAAATTATAATTTATCAATATATACCAATGATTAGAAAAAATTAATGAGTAAGGATGGGGCTAATTCTTTTATTGATTCAATAATTCATCAGTTACATATTTTAAGAATAGTAATTATTGAATGTGACTTATGAAAAATTACAGAATCAAATAATGTTATTTTAATTAAAATAGCTTTTTAATAGATGATTGAATTATGACATGGTACATACATTTTAGATGCATAGGTCTCTAAATTTTAACAAGTATTTTCCTCTTCACTAATTAGGACAATTAATACAGCTGGGCTGTCTCCACATTTAAGCAAATGTATTAAAAGCTGCTAAAACAATGTGAAACTTTGATGCTAACTATATAAACTTGATCTCGTCTTGTGGTTCCTTCTAACCAGATTGCTCAGTTAACATTTTAAAATGCCTGGTCTAAGAAATAGGCAATTCATTTTGAAATATTTATTCATTATGATTAAAACATTTTGTTGTATGATGTTCTAGGTCCATAAAAGATTTTATTACTTATGAAAACTGCTTGGGGCTTAAAATCCAAATTCTACACAGTCACATTCTTAGGTTAAAACAGGTTAGCTTAATGGAATACTGGTTCAATAATCTTGGGCTCATATGCCTACAGAAGACTCATTTACTATGTTTAATTGAAATGTGTAGGGATAGCTGCCACTTGGATTTGCATGTCCTAGATGAAATTGGATAGTAACAGGAATGGTAATAAGTAATAATTAAAATGCCTTCTGGAAGAGCTGTGCTTGAGCAAACTGGTCCAGATTAATGACTTCTGAAGAGCTGCAGGTCAGCCACAGACCCATCCGTATCTTTGAGATACAGTACTCTTTACTCTGTTTACAACAGGAGTTGCATTATAAAAATTCAGTGCTACTAAATTTCCTGGTAAGAGCATCCGTTTAATAAATATTCACTGCAGAGATCCCCAAGAGGGTTTCTGATAATTACATTCAAATATCAAATAGCTTATTATTCATTTAGTCTGAATTAGAAATGAAATCAGAGAGCTTTTATTTGACTGTTAAGAGTTGCTAGTGACCAAATACAGCAGAAAATTGGGGAAACTATTATATTCTGATGACTATCACAGCACTCCCAAATGGCTGTGCCTACTATGCACTTACAAGTAACTCAACAGTGACAACTAGCTCAGCAATATACAAGGATTTACTGTAACAGAAAGAAAAGGAGAAAGCAAAGAAGGCAAATCCTTGTGAGAGCATAGGAGGATGGGTACAGAAGCTAAGGAGGATCTCTATATCGTTTCTCTCTCTCTGACCCCCAAACTAAGAATGCTCAGAGCGAAATCCTTGGGATTTTCCTCTCTTAAAACCTGAGAGATAGTAGCATTATTCACAATAGTCAAAAGTGGAAATAAACCAAATGTTTATTGGCTGATGAAGAATACACAAAATATGTCATATCCATAAAATGGAATATTATTTAAAAATAAAAAAGGGATGAAGAATTGATACATGCTAAATATGGATGAGAGTTAAAAACACCATGTATGCTAAGTGAAAGAAGCCAGTCACCAAAGGCCACATATTGCATTATATCATATAGGAACTGTCCAGAATAGGCAAATCCATAGAAAGAGAAAGTGGAATAGTGTTTCACAGGGGCTGTGGGGAGGGAAGAATGGGGAAGGAGTGCTCATGGGAAGAGAGTTTCTTTTTGGGGTGATGAAAGTATTTAAAAATTAAACAATGGTGTTGCATGTACAGCACTGTGAAAATACTAAATACGGAATTGTATACTTTAAAATTATGGTGACATATCTCAATAAAACTATTATTTAAAGAACTCAGGTTTTGGCTGGGGAGAGCACAAAAGGTCAAAGGCACAAAACTTTATCAAGCATCTTCCTGAAGTGGTGCATTAAATAAGAAATAAACTGTGAAGGCACAAACATTTAATCTTTTCCAAGAATCTTCATTTTTAAAGACTGTATCATTGGGAAGGTTTATTTCATAATGACTTAAAAATGACTTGAACCATCAAAAAGGATTTACTGTATCACAAAGTCTTTTCTGCTACTGTCAGCACTTAAATATTTTTAGATTTTTTATTAGTATCAACAGAAGCCTGTCAGGTACCAGGAGGTGACCCTATAAAGTATAAAAATATCTGAATGATGGTGGGGAATCAAATCTTTTTATTAAAAAAATTGCATGGTTCTTTTCTTAAGGGGCAATAATAAGACTATTTGTCAAAATTGTATGACCTTTCTTGAAACCATAAGAATTCGATTTTAGCAGGGCTTTAAACTAACTGAAAAGGGAGAGAGAATCTTAGTGAGACTGTGAAGTTACTTGGTTTCAATATTGCCAAATATTCCCCACCTTATTCAGTTGATATAAAGAACATTTTTCTTAGGGTTTAGAGTGACTTTCTAATACCAGAAGAAGCCAGGTAAAGGATGGACAATGTAAAGGGACTATCTGCTTCCAAATGGGGTAATCAAATTCTAACTACGGTACACATATCAAAATGAAAACCTAAAAATGTGCTTTAATATTAAGAGTTGTCATTCACATCTAATAATTTCTACAATTAATAAAAAGTCTATGTATCTCTTTTTGGCTTCAATATAAATAAAAAGTTAGTGCTCCATCTTAATGAAAGGACAGGCTATGATTTACAAGATAAAATATATAGAACCAATTTATGTACCTCAAACAAATAAACTTTCCCTTTCCCCATCTACAATTTACCCAGAAGTAACCAACAAAGTTTATCAGTTTTTCGGTAACAGTGGGATTCCAAGTCTACAACCATGAATAGTTTGGAAATTCGTTACAATAAAATCTCAGAAATAGTTTCTTCAGTTCTAAGATGATCATGTTTTCACTTACAGACTCTATAATTCAAACTATACTCTCTTTCTATGGTTTTGGTATACAAAAAACAACCACCAAAACAATTTCTCTGCTTGCATGAAACATGCAGCACAGGCCCTACCCTTGTACATTTGAAGGCTAAATTCACCTTGCAGTATTGCCCCTGGCCACTGTCTTCCAACCACAGAGTGCAGCTTGCCAGTGTAAGGCTGTAGTGATCTCTAACCACTGCTAAATTAGCATCCCTAGTCTGCTGGTCTGGCCCTAAAGTATTTACTTGCTTGGGAACTCCTCAGGCTGATGGAAGCCATTAAAAGTTAGGCCCGGTATCAAAGTAGGACTTCAGAGAACAAGATAAAATGGTAGCCAGAGTAATTACCTCAAACCTATATTAAAAAAAAAAAACTGAAGAGAATAACGTGTAGTAAACTTTTAAAAGTGGTTGTCTCTTTTTGGAGGGTTAGTGGAAATATTTTATATGTTGAGTGTGGTT